AGCAGGTAGCCGTCAAGGGATGTACAAGGGATCATTCCTCAGAGCTTGGTACTTCTGGTTTCACTTCCTATCTAATCGTGGCTCCTCCCACTTATTAGTTATTCAGGACCCCGCGCAAGCACCTTTAAAGAACAGCCATGCTTTCAAGGCTTTTTCTACACTCATTTATTTTCTATCACAAATGCCTTCTTTACTTGTAACCTGTTCCATTATATGGTATAGTTACAGATAAGTTGATTCAAAACCTTCAAAAACTAGGATAAATAAGTAAATAGAGGTTGAAGGCCCTTAATTCAAACACCCCAAATCTGGAATACATAAAGACTCAAGAGTCTGTTGAGTGACAATGTGATGTCACAAATGAAAACTTCCACAGCTTGCCTCGTGTGACAGTAAGTAGGCGCACTAAAAATATTCTGTAAGATTAGCTTCAGGCTCTTTGTATGGGACATATATAAATTTCATATATGAGACTTAAATCTCATTCCTATGGTAGCTATTATACATATATAAGTATTTCAAAATCCAAGACACTCCTGCTCTCAGACATTTCATATTAGGAATGTTGAGATGTTATCAATAACTACAAAACCAAATATAGTGGCAAACAGTGGTAATGATCCGTCTACACAGGGAAACCCTGGTTCTGTTCCTTTGCCTGTCTCAGTAAGCATTGAGACTCTGCTAGTCTTTCAGAAGCCCTGCTAAATTGTTTAAGCTTGTTTCCATCTCATTTAAGATGGACACCAACTGTTAGCCTAAGTTACTATAAAAAATTTAAAAAAAAAACAACTTTTCCTTGCCCTCATCAAATAAGCAGGGAACAAAAATGACAAGTACCAAAATGAAAGACTATAATGAGTACTGCTATCTCCTAGGGCAAGAAAAATTGATTTGCTTTTTCTTGTGGGCAAAGCTTGGAGTACTAAGCCCAATTTTTCATGGATGAGAGAGCAAGCTCACAAAAGTTTACAGAAAGAAAATGCCAACATGGATCATGGAATTTTTTAAGTGGGATAGGATCTTAGTCTACTAAAATTAGAAAGAGGGACTGGGAATGTGGCTTAGTGGTAGAGTGCCTGCCTAGTATGCATGAAGCCCTGGGTTTGATTCCTCACTACCACATAAACAGAAAAGGCTGGGACCATGTAATTGTAACCCCTCTGTATGGTATTTTCACAATTAAAAAAAAAAAGGCTGGGAGTGGCTCAAGGGATAGAGTGCTAGCCTTGAGCAAAAGAAGCTCAGGGACAGTGCCCAGGCCCTGAGTTCAAGCCCCAGGACTAGCAAAATGTAATTAATGAACATTTTTAATGCACTTACTTTTTACTACTCTCTAACGAGGCCTGGAAGTTTTCATTTGTGGCATCACGTTGTCATTCAATTGTCATTAATCAACTAATTAATTAATTGAAATTAGAAAGAAGCTTCCAAAAGTGTATTCCCCAGGAAGCCCAGACACGCTTTCTGAGGCCACACCCAGGACTCTAGGCAGGAAGAGCTCTGATGGTATCTTAGGCACTAGGCCTGGACATCTCTAGCAAAACCTCATGAATCCATGAGCTTCCACACTTTGCAATCTGTGCTACCGTTTTATCTATCTTTGGTTAAAATTGAATACTTTATCTCACCAACCTAAGAGAACACAGCCTGCCAGAGTGGAGAGAAGGGTGGGCTTCATGGCCTCCATGCCCTCAGGAAGAGCATTCCTGTACACAAAGCAGACACTTTGATGGTCTCCTTTTCTTTTTCTTTTTCTTTTCCTTTTCCATTTTGTTATTTTCTTACTTTTGGGTTTTAGTGGTTTTGTTTGTTTGTTTAATGCCCCTTTGAGAGTTAGGGAAAAATCTAAACCTTGCATGGAAGCAAAGCAAACTTACTTATCTCTTACTTATGTGAATACCTTGCTAAGCACAAGGATTTGAAGCCAAGGGTCAGGACCATATTGGAATCACTTAGCCCTGCCAGCTAGTTAGCTCGAGAGAACAGAATTGCCTTTATGCACTCTCCAAGCTATGCTTCTCAACTAGGCTATAATTTATAAACATCTGAGAATCTTCTAAAAAAAAAACCTACTGGTGACTGAGCTCCACCCAGAACAATTCAATCAGAAGCTCCCAGGTAGGGATAAGAAGCAGATATCACTTTTTTTTTTTTTTGGTACGTTGTTGGGCTTGAACTCTGGGCTTGGGCGCTGTCCCTCAGCTCTTCAGCTCAAGGCGAGCGCTCTACCACTTGAGCCACAGTGCCACTTCCAGTTTTTTTCTTTTTGCTTATGTGGTGCTGAGGAATCGAACCCAGGGCCTCAGGCATGCAAGGCAAGCACTCTACCACTGAGCCATCTTCCCAGCCCCCACTTCCAGTTTTCTAGTGGTTTATTGAAGATGAGTCTCATAGAGTTTCCTGCCTGGTCTGGCTTTGAACCGTGATCCTCAGATCTCAGCCTCCTGTGAGTAGCTAGGATTACAGGCATGAGCTACTGGGCGCCCGGCTGATATCAGTATTTTTTAAAAGGCTTCCCAAGGGACTCTAATATGCCTTGGAACTGAGCACCACGGCTATAGATAAATAAGAAGGCACCTAATTCAAACAGAGCAGCCCTGTAACCCATCTAGTTTAGAAATAGTTCTAATTTCCCCAGGACCTAATAGCATAGCAAAGATCTAGCCTCCTTTTCCCATTACCCTGGTACTAAAGCATTACTCACCCAAAATGAGGTGAAACCTACTCTCTGTCACATGGCAGAAAACAGGAAATGAATAGTGTTAGGTTTTTAAAAAGAGGTGGCCGAGTAAGAACAGCACCCCGCACGTAGTGTTCAGGTAAGGGGTAGGTTTATTCAGTAGATCTGCTGGGACCAGGCCATGTTGGCCCTCCACGCGGCTGGGAAAGGCCTGGGAAAGAGAGAGAAAAGGGCAAGAAAAGAGAGAAAAAGAGAGCATCTGGGAAAGAGGTGGGAAAGAGCAAGCTAGGAAAGAGAAGAGAGCTGGGAAAGAGAAGGAAAGAGTTGAGAAAGAGCTAGAAAAGAGCAGAGAGGGCATCTGGGCCTGGGCTAGGCCTTATCTAGGGTATGGGCGGAGAAAGGTGTGGCCACATCAAATTCAGATGTGACCTCGGAGGATGCAGATGTGAGGTCTTCCAGGTGTTCCAGTTGCCTAGGTAACGCAGGTACTGGGTGGAGACTTTGCTACGAGGAGGGTGGAGTCTGCTAGCCATCCAGGAGCTGACCTTACAAATAGCACTCAGTTCCTGCCTTGAAGGAGCTCACACACAGGTCAAAGAAATGTTTCCTAATAAAATGTAATGTTAGAATCAGGTGCTGGTAGCTCACATCTGTAACCATAACTACTCAGGAGGCTGAGATCTGAAGATCACAGTTTGAAGCCAACTTTTACAGAAAAGTCCATGACACTCTTATCTCCAAAAAGCAGAAAGTGGATGTATGGCTCAAGTGGTAGAGTTCCAGTCTTGAGTGAAAAAGCCAAGCAACAGCACAAAGTCCTGAGTTCAAGCTCCAGTTCCAGTGTGTGCACACATGCACACGTGCAAACACACACACACACACACAATATTGGAGAAGATGAATGTGGTCAAAATAGATTGCCAGCAGTATGAAAACTGAAAGTTGAAAAGTATTGCAATTGCATGAAGAAAGGGAGACAGGGAGAGTGAAAAGAGTGGAGGGAAAAGATGAAATACACACACACAAGTATACATACTCATATATATTCATGGAAATAGAACCATGAAATCACTCCTTATGTAGCTAATATATGTTTATGTCTTAACTACTGTAATTTTCAAAACTATCTTATGAATTAGGCCCTATCACTACCAAGCCCACTTCACCTGGAAAAGTCCATAGCCACAGAGAACTTATGCCTAAAATCCTTTAGCTGGGAGTAGCTGGGCTACAGTCCAACTGAGGCAGCCTGGCTGTTCCACCCAGACACTTCACTAGTACATGACAAGGATAAGCAGATATGTGTAAACTCAGAGTTAAGAACAGACATTGTGGATTCAAAGAATGGTAGGGCTAAAATGGGCTGAAAAGATGGGTTAAAACCTTAAGCATCATGAATAGATACTTCTATTTTTATTTTATTTTTGTCAGACCTGGGGCCTTAACTCTGGGTCTGGGCGCTGTTCCTCAGCTCTTCAGCTCAAGGCTAGCGCTCTACCACTGAGCCACCTTCCCAGCCCTCATACTTCTATTTTTATTTCTTGTAGATAAAGTGTAGCCACCCAAAGTCATTGGGTTTCATTCATCTATTTGTGCTAGTATTGGGGCTTGAACTCAAATTCTAGGCATCCCTTTTTCATACAAGATTATCACTCTACAACTGCCACTCTACTCTGCCACAGCTCCACCTCCAGTTTTTGGCTGATTAATTGGAGATAAGAATTTCACATAAATATGACAGGAATGGATAAGGAAAACACTAAAACTCCTTGGCACAGGTCAAAACTTCCTAAATAAGTATCCAGAATCACAACAAATGAAAAAAAAAAAAAGCTGGATAAATGGGATTGTGTTGAACTGCAGATTTTCTGCATGACAAAGGACATAGTTAGCAAGATAAGTAGAAAGCACACAGAATGGGAAAAGATTTTTACTAGCTATGCATTAGACAATGGCCTCATATCTAAAATATACTTACAGCTCAAAATATTTAACCCCCCAAAAACAAATCCTCAAAGAAAAAACAATCCCATTAGTAAGTGGGCTAAAGACTTAAAAAGAGTCTTCTCCAAAGAAGAAATAAGAATGGCCAATAGACACATGAAGTGATATTCAATATCTCTGTCCATAAAAGAAATGCATCATTGAGATTCCATCTAACCCCAGTTAGAAGCATCGTTGAGATTCCGTCTAACCCCAGTTAGAATTATCAAGAAAGCACAGGTGGGTGTCCCAAGTCAATAAGTCCCAAAGTTGGGATGGGAACCTCCAAACATTAGCCGAATGATAGGTGTGCCTGAGATAAAATGAGTGGTTAATGTGGCCTTTCCCCCTCACTCCCCAAGAGCCCGTTATGGTGATGCCCCTAAATGCCAGGCTGTGGAAGCCATGCGGGGGTGGAGAGAGAAAGTGCTGCACTATGAGGACTTTATCAGTGACGTGCTGCAGCAGGACTTGCAAAAAGTATTGGACCATCAAGACAAGATATATGAGCAGCTGGCCACATACCTTCAGCTGAAAAATGTCATTGAGTAACTCCAGGAAGCTAATCACTCAGAGTTATATATGGAGGTGGATTTGGGCTGTAACTTCTTCATTGACACAGTGGTTTCAGATACTTCACGCATCTACGTAGCCCTGGGATATAGGTTTTTCCTGGAGTTGACACTGGCAGAAGCACTCAATTTCATTGATCTTAAGAGCTCTCTCCTCACAAAGCTCAGCAACAGCCTAACCAAGGACTCCATGAATAGCAAGGCTCATGTCCATATGTTGTTAGAGGGGCTGAAAGAACTACAGGGCATGCTCATCATTGACTACTACTTCCTAACCTCTGACATTAAAGAGCCTGAATGCCTTGGGGAAAAAAATACCAAGAAAACTAACAATAACAGATGCTGGCAGGCATGTGGCCAAAAGAGACCACTACTATACTATATTATTGGTGAGAATGTAAACTTGTTCAACCACTCTGTAAAGCAGTATGAAGATTCCTCAAAAGACTAAACATAGACTTCCCCTATGACCCAGAAATCTCACTCCTGGGAATTTACCCAAATAACCACCAAAGCCACCAGCACAACCATGTTCATTGCAGTATGTTTACCATAGCTAAGATATGGAATCTACCCAGATGCCCCTCAGTGGACAAATGGATCAAGAAAATGTGGTATACATGTACAATGGAATGCTATGCTTCCATCAGAAAGAATGGCATTGCCCCATTCATAAGGCTATGGAAAGACTTGGAAAAAATTATATTAAATGAAGTAAGCCAGGCCTAAAGAAACACAGATCTGAGGATTGCGGTTCAAAGCCAGCCCGGGCAGGAAAGACCGTGAGACTCCTATCTCCAATAAACCACCAGAAAACCGGAAGTGGCGTTGTAGCTCAAGTGGTAGAGCGCTCGCCTTGAGCTGAAGAGCTGAGGGACAGCGCCCAGGCCCAGAGTTCAAGCCCCACG